GACTTGTAGTAGTATGGCGGTGGTAGAGGCTTTTCCGGAGGTGGTGGGGACTTGTAGTAGTATGGCGGTGGTAGAGGCTTTTCAGGAGGCGGTGGGGATTTATAGTAGTAAGGTGGAGAAGGAGACTTTTCCGGTGGTGGTGGGGACTTGTAGTAGTAAGGTGGCGGAGGATATTTTTCTGGGGGCGGTGGGGACTTGTAGTAGTATGGCGGTGGAGGAGAGTGTACGGGTGGCGGAGGAGATTTGTAGTAGTAAGGTGGTGGAGGGGACTTTTCAGGAGGTGGTGGGGATTTGTAGTAGTAATGTGGCGCAGGAGACTTTTCGGGTGGCGGTGGGGACTTGTAGTAGTATGGTGGTGGTGGAGAGTATTCCGGTGGCGGGGGAGATTTGTAGTAGTAAGGTGGTGGAGGGGACTTTTCAGGTGGTGGCGGGGATTTGTAGTAGTATGGTGGGGGAGGAGATTTTTCGGGGGGTGGTGGGGACTTATAGTAGTATGGTGGTGGTGGAGAGTGCACTGGTGGCGGGGGAGATTCGTAGTAGTAAGGAGGTGGAGGAGACTTTTCTGGAGGTGGTGGGGACTTGTAGTAGTAAGGCGGTGGAGGAGACTTTTCGGGTGGTGGCGGGGACTTGTAGTAGTATGGCGGGGGAGGAAATTTTTCAGGAGATTTTTCAGGTGGTGGTGGAGACTTGTAGTAGTATGGCGGTGGTGGGGATTTTTCCGGTGGTGGAGGAGATTTGTACTCATAAGGCGGTGGAGGAGACTTTTCTGGTGGCGGCGGGGACTTGTAGTAGTATGGTGGGGGAGGAAATTTTTCAGGAGATTTTTCAGGTGGTGGTGGGGACTTGTAGTAGTATGGTGGTGGAGGAGATTTTTCCGGTGGTGGAGGGGATTTATACTCATAAGGCGGTGGAGGAGATTTTTCCGGAGGTGGTGGAGATTTGTACTCATACGGAGGTGGAGGTGATGGAGATGGTGGAGGTGGTGACTTGTACTCATAAGGCTTTGGAGGAGGAGAATGTGGAGGTGGTGGAGATGAGTACTCATATGGAGGTGGAGGTGGTGACTTGTACTCATAAGGTTTTGGTGGAGGAGAATGTGGAGGTGGTGGAGATGTGTACTCATATGGAGGTGGAGGTGGTGACTTGTACTCATAAGGCTTTGGTGGAGGAGAATGTGGAGGTGGTGGAGATGTGTATTCATATGGAGGTGGTGGAGATGTGTACTCATATGGAGGTGGAGGAGAATGCACTGGTGGTGGCGGGGATTTGTACTCATAGGGCGGTGGAGGTGGTGAAGGGTAGGGATAACCATCCGCAGATACTGAACCGACATTACTAGAAACCACAAGAATGGCTAGTGCCACTAGAATTTGGGGCCAAAACCGGCCCCTTCCTGGGTCGCTCCGCGGAGCTATCATCGCTTGCCGGTGAAGTTCCCCCCAATTTCTCAAGACTAGTACAAGTGTGTCCCGTACTAAAAAGATGAGGAAGGAGGGGACTAGAAAGAAAGAAAGAAAAGTCTTTTGTTAGTGGTGATGAGTTAAGGCATGCATGAAGATTGGCCTCTTTATATAATACAAATGGTCGTTGGTGGGGAGCTGTCAAGAAGTGACTAATTCAATTTGTTAAATTTTATTAATGTAGAAAAATGGGTTTTTCTAGCTGTCTTCAATATTTTTGGCTCTTTTTGAATCACAAGGATTCCGTTTGGAAACTAATCTCCACCTGCTCTTTTAATATACGACGGTATAAGGTAAACTTCTCCCAAAATTAATAATAATAATAATAATAATAATAATAATAATAATAATCCATCATTTTTTCTTAATACATTTTCTCTCTTCTCCGTTCCATTTCACATGAACACCGGTAGAGAAAACGGCATGATTCAATTTTTCAATATTCTCCCAACAGCTTCAATAATAAAAATCAAATAGAAAAAGCAGAATTGCTGCAATATTCTTCTAATTTATGGTCTCCAACTGTAGCATTTAACTTTTAATTGATTCAACTGCTACAGGATGGATCCCAAATGGAACATGGTTGACAATGTGTCATGCATGTGTCTACCCTCCTCCTCCTCCCAAGCAGATACAGCCCAAACAGTCCCCATTAGAGTCATAACTGGTGTCGGCCTTCACTTTCTTGTGTAGTTGTAATTAGCCTGTATAACATTTGTTTTTCTACTCAACATGTGGTGCTTAAGAAACAATTGAATTGTCTACATAGGATACTCTTTTTTTTTTTTTATTTATACATATTATTATAATTCCATTCCCATAATTTTTTTTTTTTTTGACAGGAGCAATGATTAAAAGTTAAAAATTAAAAAATAAATTAATACCTTATTCTTGGCAAGATTCGATCACTAATCGAAAGTGCAATCTACCGATAGTTCTGTTATATTACAGTGACTGCCAATGAACCACAACAGAAAAATGCGTCTGCATAGGATACTTAAAAATGTTGAAAATGTAATTTTAGGAGCGTCATTCTGTATCTAAATACGTTATTTACTCACCTGATCCAAATTGTCAAAAAGTGAAATCGTGGAAAAGTTTGTTAGTCCATATTTTGTACCGATCTGAAACAAATTTTCAAAATGAAAAAGAGGGTACAATAATTGTATGGTTTCGTATTCATGGGTTAACTGCATTTTCCTGGCAAGTAAGGATAACAATAATAGAGATAAAAATTTTAAGAATAAAATTTAAAATTAAAGATAAAATAAAATTATGTTATTTAAAATATTAAAAAATAAATTTTATATTAATTAATAATTAATTTTTTTATTTTTTAAATATGTAATATTATATATAATAGTTTTTATTCTCATTACTTCTTAAAAATTAAAAAAATTTCAATAAATTTTTATTAAAAAATTAAAATATCATATTTTAAAACATCAATTAAAGTATTTTAATAATTTTTCAAAATAATTTATTAAAATAATATAATTTTAAATTTTTTTTAAATTTTTTAAAAATACAAATAAAAACTAATTCTTTATATATATTAATTTATTTAATAATAAAAATTATATTATGTTATTGTCACAATTATTATTGTTATAAATTTTGGTCCCAAATTTTAATGACTCTTTCACTACTCGACAAATGAATGTCCCAATTTTGTCACGAAGTGAAAGGAAGGACCCGGATTTCTAGACACAGTACTTTCCATTTGCCTTCATTCACAATAGAAATTCCATGTGCCTTCTCAATTATGAGGTTTGGATGTGGAGCCACCATCATCTAGTGAGAGTTTGTAGCTTTTGCAGCAATTTTAAGATGTAAACAAAAGTAAGAAAGGAAAAAGCAAAAGGAAGCAGAAAAGAAGTGGGGGAACAGAGGTTATATCTATTTATATATTTCTGGCCCAATTAATTTCATTTATTGCAAGAAATGAAATTCTAAAGAGAAAAAAGTAAAAAAAAAAAAAAAAAAAAAAAAAAAAAAAAAAAAGGAACTCTCCTACCAATACTTTTTTCTTTTTCAAAAGTTGGAGTATATTTCCAAACTTAATTCGTGTCGGTCCAGTAAAACAATTGACTCTGACAGAATCAGCGTCGGCAACGGAAAAAAACCACACTATATTAATAATAATAAATGAAATTAAAATTTAAAATATAAATATAAATTATTTATTTAAAATATTAAAAAAATA